ATTTAAACAGTGACAGTGCAACTCACTCACTCGGCACTTGTGATTAACCCCTTACATGCCGCTCAAACATAGACAGGTCTCAGACCGTGGTATCGGTCCCCGGTATCGGGGGACTTTTAACGAGTACTTTAGAAAATGTGGTATCGAGGCCGATACCAGATACCGGTATCGGTGCATCCCTACTACAGGGGCCTGTGAACTGTGTGCAGATGTCACCTCGGAAAGCTAAAGTCAGGTTGCCGTTTCCAGCAGGATTCCTGAATTTCACATGCTTGTCCGTCCACCACGCAATGCCTTTTTTTACCAGAGGAACTTCAATTTTGCTGTTGTTGGAATCGACGTAGTACAGCACCAGAGTGTCTGAAACACATAATCAGTATATTCAGTACAGATATCAGGCTCTACAAAGCTTTAACACAGCAGTTTTAAACTGTAGATAAGACTCCAGTTAAGCTAAACAGCTGAGAGAGGGAAAGTGAAGTTGTTCAACACACTCACCGTTGAAAAGGCTGTTAGCTATGGCCCCACACGGAGCAATGGACACATCTCCGCTCTTACGGTACGGCTCACACTCCTTGCTGGGATCCTGGAAAAAGGACATAATGTTCACCTGATGGAAGAAACATTCACTGGATTCTCTGAATTATCTATAGGCACAAAAAGTACAGCAGCATACCGTCAGAGCAGACAGGTCACCGTTCAGCTGTCTGTCATCTCTGGACTTCACATAGCGTCTGTGGTTCTGGTAGAAGTTGGACAAGCCGTAGTACATGAAGACATTGCTCTGTACGAGAGAAAAGACGGCATCGCTGACAGAATTAGGAATCAGTAACGACCAGGATGAATGAGCAGCTTTTCCGTGACAGGGTCTTACACACAATCTCTATGATCAACATAAATCATCAAGAAAATCATCAAGATTAAAAGATTCCCCTTCGGAAAACAGTGATGGAAATTCATTTGAACTCACTGGTTACTGGGACTGGGAGATAAAACCAAATCCAATGATATCCATGCATATTTAAAAATAAATAATACATTTGTAAAAAGGTTAACAACATAGAGGGGCTTTGTTTAATGTGGGACATGCGTCTTCTTGCCAGTCTGTGCCTTCATAAAAGGCTGTGGTGCTTGATCAGGTAGTGATGTTTCTCCCACAGCGTTACGGCACCGGTGTCATCTTTGTTTCGAGCAATCAGGCCAGTTTTACAAACTGCTTTTTGTGCGCACCATCACAGCTCACCTGGTTGAGTTAGCAACCCATATACCACAGGCTGGAGTCCTTACTGCAGGGGCCTGGGTTTGAGTCCGCGCAGGTTTATTTCAACCATTTCATTCCTGCTCGCTCTCCCTATTTTCTCTGCTGTCTGTTAAATGAGGACTAAAAAGCCCTAAAATAAATTTTAATTAACCTCATTTTATGCCTGTATAAAATGTTTTATACAGGTATAAAATACCTGTATACCTACTCCAGCCAGAGACAATAACAGGTGCTGGAAATCTACAAGGAATATAAAAATAACATGGTACAACACAATAGTGCTGCTGCAAAACGACAAGAGAGCAGCACTCCAGAAAATCATTAATCTTGCACATTCATAAGCGTTTGATTTCAGTATGAAGAGAACGCTGAAATAAACATTTAAAGCCCAGCTCATTTATTTTGTTGATCAGTGCTGCTGTTCGTTTCTATACAACTCACTTCATCAGGTTTGTTAAACTGAAAGAGCACATGATTCCATTTTCTGTTGAACGTGAATAACTTTGTTGACAAAAATACTTCACCTTCAGGTGATTCACTGTTCAGGATGCAGTGTACTTAATACAAATACTTCTTCTGCTTCTCAGAAAAGAAGCACGCAAACATTTTAATTTAAAAAAAAATGCTATTTTACAAGCTAAATGCAAGCTGTTAAATGAGACGAGTGCAGACGAGCAACTGAGAGCTTTTTATAAATAATCAATGAAGCCTTCTGAAAGCTGCAGAGCATATTTTAAACCTACAACAATCAATAGTAAAGCAGCCTCTAAACAAACCTTGAGTGTTTTTTGTTTGTACTCAAAATAGATCTTAATGGACAATTATTGTTAGGATTGCACAAGCAGCACTCTCCGTCCTGCAGGTAAATGCATGCATTATTCATTAACTTCCAATGCCTGGAAGCTGGTGGGGGATCTGAGCTCACCTCAAACGGCTGGAGCAAAGTGAAGTTGACGGTGCAGACACAGGGCTCTGTGGTGTTCCAGGTGAAGTTCTTTGCACAGTTGTAGCACGGGCTGTCACTGCTCACACCAGTGTAGTCGATCTGAAGCAAAGAGGAAATAAACTGATGTTGAAATACACTCAGTGCTCCGTCTATTCAGTGCAGCAACATGACTAGAAGAAGGTACAGACTTGAATCAAATACAGGAACACTTTGTTTAATGCACAGGCAGCAATCACTTATGATCACAGCAGCCCTCAAAGGCCCACTGCGAGGCAGGAACCCCGGACACATCCTGTGTTTCTTACCTTCTAGTCCAGCTTTGTTTAGACTGTTTTGAAGCCATGTGAAAGCCACTTTAGAGGCTGTGGTTTGTGGTGCTGTTAAATCACACTGCCCAAACTATGATCAGCCACACTGATATAAGCCGTGATTCTGATCACTTTCTAGCCTCATTAATATTAAATATGTGGTGCCGACTCCCCATGTCTCTGATGTTTTTACCATCTAATATCGACCTTTGATACAAGTGTGTAGCAACCACATTTAAAAGTAACGTCGAATGAATGCGCTTCAAGCTGAACTTCAACACTATGTTGTTCATCTTTACACTTAACATTGTTAACATTGGCGTGACGTAAAGAAGCTACGTCACTTATCGAAGAACCACTTATTCCTGTTTAGTGAGCCTCCTTCAGCAGGTTTACTGTGTGTATAAACGGTGTGTAGCTACACCGGGCTGTGTAGTAGAACCGAGAAGAAGCCAGCCTCGTTTAAAGGCGGACAGGAGCGCGACTGTACCTCAAACTCTTTGATGTTGTTCGATGTGACGTACAGGCCGATGCCGATGGGGATAAAGATGAGCCCAATGACGAAAAAAGCCGGCAGCACACTGCCTGCTGTGAGGATGGGCTGCCAGGCTGGAAGTCTCTGCTGTTTGAACGCCGTGTTGTCCGGTTTCTTATTTTTCGAAAGGCCAGTGCCGCTCGAAGCGCCGGAGTGGTGTCCGTCCTCTTCCTTAGCGTTGTAGCTCGACGCCATCATGGCTGCGGTCAGCTTCGAGTTAAATAATCCTCTCTGACAGACAGCCGAGCTGCTCGTTAATCCCACACGCCAAGTAAGACACAGAGCGGTTAGGCAAAGGGTAAAACTGTGAGCGAAGTGAACTTTACCCCCAGTCTAATGAAAATATCTGCTCATTGTAGCGCTGACTTCTTGTTTTCCTTCAACTGCGGTTCTCTCTCCAGAAGAAGAAGCCGGAAGCTTTCGAACCAATAGCAAGAAGTAGCGTAGTAGTGACATCATCGCAAACATTAGGGTAACGCCCCTTTGTCACTGACAGCTGATAGTACCTGTAGGCGTCTGTGCTCGGGTTTTAACGTGAAGGCTCTACATGTTTGACTGTTTTTAACCTTTTTTCTCACTCGCAGAACATTTACACATGTTTTTAAAAGATTTTTATATGTGTCCTTTTTATATGATTGGCCCAGTTAATGTAAAAAACAAGGCAAAAAGAATTTAAAGTTTTGAAGTTTAAGCAATTTACCATTCATATATTACACACAGTAGTTTTAAAATATGTTCTTTCATCAGTTCCTCTTGATCCTTCCACTTCTTTAGTGCTCAACCCTGAAGATATTCCAGCTCA